TAAGATTTGTATGTTTCATCATATGTAAATTTTTCCTCAAAAAAATTATAAACTAGAAAAAAATTCTTCTACATGTCCACACAAAACATGATATAGTAAAAAGAAGGTCATTAATCAGTGATGGGAATGGGATTACCCTGTCACCAAGAAGGGGCTGACTGATCAAAACCGAAGGAGCTGACTAATCAAAACCCGAAGCTCATCCAGTATAAACAGGAAAGAAACCTGCACGTGTGGCCCAGATGCTGGAAGAAGAACAAGCATGTTGGTGGAAAACGGGCTAGTTCTCTTCTGACTGCTCCTGTTTTTCTCCGTGAGGTAAGAAATGGGATCAACAGGGTGAGGTGGGAGAAAAGGGTCTTGGAGGTTTGAGGGGGCAGGAAAAAGGGTAAGAGTTTGGGGTCAAGGAGAGGTCAACTAGAGGTGAGGAGGGTTCAGCTGTCCTTGGTGTATTTCAGTTTCTTCCACTACGCCAATGCTTCCCAACGGGGTTGACTTTGCTCCCAAGGAGACAATGACTAACATCTGGACTCATTTTTGGTTTTCATAACTGGAAGGGAGGCTGCTACTGGATCTAGTGGGGAGAGATCAGAGATACTGCTAAATATCCTACCACGCACAGGAGAGCCTGCACACACAAAGAATTATCCAACCCAAACATCAATAGCACCGAGGCAGAAAAGACCTATACCACGTCTTTCTCTATCCCAAGTTCCCTCTGTAGTAGGAAAGCAAGTCAGACCACAAGAACTCAAGTCCCTTAAAACTCCCCTTCTCCTAAATCCCAGTTTCCCCGGTGAGGTAGTCTCATCAGGGCCAGTTCTAAGGTAAGGGAAAAGGAACTTACAGGCTTGGAGTGGGTCCAGTACTGCCCCCCCACCCCCCGTCAGAAGTATGGGTAGATGCCAAGAGAAACCACAGCTATGTAATCCCTTAGTTAAGCTTTCACCCCTCTTCCAGGACCTGCCCCTACTGGCCTTTCTGGAACTTAAACAAGAAGGGACACCACCTCTATTCCACCATGTGCCTGGGATCTGGGGTGTCAAATTCCCCAGGAACCTCCAAGCACTTACTCCCCACCCCATGGGAACGGTAAATATGGTGTGTACCCACAGACCTGTGGGGCAGTTCTAGGTACTTACTTTCACCTTAGCATCTTTGCCACAAGCATTTTTGCCTCAAGTATTTTTGCAGCATAGCTAATTGCCTGTAAAGCAATTTTGCCATAAAAAGATGAAATCACGACAAATAATAACGGGACATTAATAAAGACATAATGAAACATTAAAATGAATAACAAAATGAATAAGACTGTCTTGTGAAATACAAAATATTTGAATACATTTTAAATGTGTGTAGAATCAAGGCTACTTTAAGACCAGCATCACCACATCTATTTGTCACCGTATAGACCATTATGAGGACTAGCTAAGATTTATGAACAACATAAAAGGGAGTCACTGCAAGCACTTCATCAATAGGGAAATGAAATTGAACTAACAACTAGCTTAAACACATTAAGCCTGACCAAGGCAGCTGATTCATCAATGGAGAAATCAAACTAAACCAAACAAAAAAACAAAAACTGTCCACCAGTTATATTTTTTTTATGGCAAAACTGCCTTATAGTCAATTACTTATATGGCAAAAATATTTGCAGTAAAAATGCTTGTGGTTGGGCCGGCCCAGTGGCGCGTTGGTTAAGAACTGGCTTGGGATGCCAGAGGGCCCCGGTTCGTATCCCACATATGAGGGCCAGTGACACTGCCCTCCACAGCTAAGATGCTGCACAACAGCTCAACCTGGAGCTGGGCTGCCATGAGTCGCCGGCGACGGCGTAGGCTGCAGCCCCTGCTGCAGTGGGTTGCCATG